GGGGGGGGGGGCGGACAGTTGTAAGCACGAGGTTGGGGTCGGAGTCTTTGAAGTCGACACGTTTGACGGAGACATTGCACGAAACGCCGGTCCGTCTGACGCATGAGGATGAAGTCGAGGCGGTACTTCTCCTTCCCCTTGTTGGAGCTCTGGAATGTGTGCTGCACTCCACCTTTCGGTGTCGGGAAGTAGGTGTTGGTCAGGGAGAGTTGGTTGTCTGATGCCAGTTCAAGGAGTCGTTCCCCGTTGTTGTTCATTATGTCGCGTCCGTTCGCGCCCATAATCTTGGCATCGCAGCACCCGTCTCGCCTCCTACCAGTGCGTGCGTTGGCGCCCATTAGCACCACGAGATGGTCACGGCTGTGAACCTCCCGGATCGCTGCGTCGAGAGCCGTCCAGAAGGAGTCCTTGGCGTTAACATCACCGCCCGCGGTGCTGCGGACAGTTTCCGTGGGGGCGTACCCCACCACGAAAGTTACTCCGCAGGTGCGACCAATTTGTAGACGCACCTTCATCAGCCTCGGGCTAATGCACTCCACCGTCCTACCTTCCTCGCCCACACTCTCCCAGATGGCCTCCTTGATCGCTATGCCCACACCGTGTCCGCCCCTCTTGTCCTTGGTGCCAGCACGGGCGCCACTCCAGATGATCACGTACCCGTCGTGTGCAATTGAACCTTGCCCCTCTCGTCGGGTCTCCTGAAGTCCTATCACATCACAGCCGGTCGCCGAACAAATCTGCATGACCGTCATCACGTTGTGACCGATGGGGTTTCTACCGCTGTAGGCGAGCGTGTGTACGTTGAACGTGCCGAACGATAGGTCGCCCTCTCGTGCCTTCTTCATCGCAGCCGCCTTGACGGCCGCTGCGGTCTCGTGTCTCTCTCGGTCCACCTTGCGTTGCGGGTGTGCTTTCTTCGGTATTTTCCGAGCGGCGAGTTTCCTCGCATCAATCCATCTCTGCAGAGCTCGGTTCTTGCCTGTGGTGTTTTGACGAGGAGGGTGCAGCACTCCCTCCCCGCGGTGCCCGCGGTTGTCTCCCTTCTCCCGCGAGCGGTGCTTACTGACGTGGTGTTTACGAACCTCTCTACTCCTCCACCTTCGTGGGTCACGCTTTCCGCGACCTGTGACCACGGGAATCGACTACGTCAAGTGTTGGATCAGTACGGACATACGAAGGTACTGCGTCGAGCGAGATCGGAACGGTTTTTAATGTGAAGACAACAACAACAGTAATGTTAGATATACTCGTAGCATAGTGATGTGGTTGAGTATGGGACATGGATCTACGGAGATTGCAGTTGGTAGATCGCGGAGGAACAGGGAGTTTCTGCTTGGTTTCTTCGGAGATTCGATGAGTGATCTGAATTGCGTGACGGATAGGTGTGGTGACGCCCTCTTCGGCTGCTCGGCCTCGAGTGGTCTCTGCCCTTCCCTCTTTCCTCTAATACAAGACTTTCCCATCTCGGCCCTCACTGGCCGAGCTGCCTTTCTCCACAAACCTACAAGCTTCGGCCTACCCGGTTTATCCAACAAGTAACAACAACAACAATGCATAGAAGCCAGCGCGCGTGTCGCCGGTTCGCGTACCGGTTCGGAGGTATGACAATGCGCCAGTTACGCCGCATATTGCTTTGGAAGGACCACAAAAGTGTCTCCCGACCTTTGAAAGAGGTTGTCATTGTCACATGTATTGGAAGGAGATTCCAGTCGGCCCCACCTCGCAACAAAGCCTGGGTTTCTCAATGGGAAGCAGTAGCACCAATGATACGAAGGTGAGGGCCTGACCTTCGACACTGCTGCAGCTACAGGACTACAGCACTACAGCAGTACTACAACAGCAGTACATGTACTGAAGTCTACTGCTGCTGTCTACGCTGTACGTACCCCCGTGTTCACGAGACCTTTCTTGAACGGTCTCACTGTCACCAGGAATGACCCTCTTACAAGTTGCTACAGCACCTTCTGTTGCCTATTTCCAGTATGTGTCATTCGTCGACCATCCACATTGTATGTACCTGTTCTGTACACGGCACTCCGATTATTTGTGGTACTGTTGTAGATAGACTGACTGCCTGTAGACTACAGCAGTACGACTCGGGCCTGAACTTTCAAATTTCTGTCCATCGACTGTACATATTGTACCCATGTACAGCGCACCGATCGTCGGCAGTACTAACACCAGCTCAAATAGGCCGTTTGCCTCCTGGCCCTTACACTGTAAACCCAATCGAAGAGATCTACTGCTGTAATACCTCATCCATTCCATCCGACATACACGTTCCCCCTATTCGATAAAGGCTGACCATTTGACTACGTGCACAGTCATCGGATGACTGTGCACGTAGTCAAATGGTCAGCCTTCAACCAATAAAAGATACACTCTCGGCTCGTAGCATCCCGGGCTGTGAGTCCTTTATCGGATAAAGGACGTAGTCAAATGGTCAGCCTTTATCGAATACCCCCGTGCACGCATCCGCTTCTTGTCTTGCCCTCGCCACCGAAGAAGTGGCACGGGTACCGTCAGCGGCAGCAGTCACAACGATGATCGGGCTCTATGGACCGGCGGCAGCAATGCATCTTTTAGCAGAGGAGGGGGCAGAGGAAGGGGAGAAACAAAAGGACGTTCCGTTAGCACCGCTGGGAAGAAATCCGACCGAGGAGTAGGAGCTGACATCGCCAGCCCTCACCGCCGCCGCTGCGGCTTGCCCAGGTCGACTGGGGCTGCTTCAGCGGCAGTGACTGCAACGCCTATGGGAAATGGCCACCCTTGTTCCAACAACCGCGCCATCATGATGGCGGATAGCGATTGTAGCGACGGAATACACATTCACGGGTGGCTGCCAACAGCTTTGTTCTCTACCTGCAGCGAAGCATCATTAAAGGCTATTCCGCCGGAGCTTTTGTTTCCTGACGATCGTTTTTCTCCTAATGGTACACTCCTCCACAACAAACACCTCAAATTGTTGGGCTCGTTCGTCCGTCACGCGGACCAGCAGACAGCGATGACGATTGAAGGCCGAGCGAAGACAGGGGCTCGGCCCGTTGCTGGCCGCAACCAGTGCGTGCATCAGCAGCAGCTGCGGAAGGATAGCAGCGACGACGGTTTTATTTGGAGTGGTGCTGTTTTCGCTGCTGACGAGCAAGAAGGGCAGATGTCGGGGCTATCATGCTCATCGCAATGCTCTGTGGAAGGTAGCGCGCCAGACGAAGGCAGAACTACTCCCGGAGAATGTGGAGATGAGCTGACACCACAGCCTTCATGCTCTGCAGCAGCCCCTGCCACCGTGTCGGACCACGCTCCTGCTGCTGCGGAAGCTATGTCACCCGATGGGGGCGTACGGTTGAGCGTGGTATCCTCGTGGATAGATTCCATCCTGAGCGCTGCCGCCCGTACTGTCGCGTGTCACGCCCAACCCCTCGCGGCACCGTGCGATGGACGTGAACCTGATGAACACCGTCGATTGGTAGCCGCACCATGCAAAATACTACTCGTCACCAACAGTACTGGGGCACGGGAGCAGCAGGAACAAAAGAGTAGCGACAAGCATACATCCGACGATTCAAGGACAGGAAGAACAGTGTCAATGGCACCGATGACTGCTTTTACCCCGCCCACCATAGACGAAGACGAGGAAAGACGGGCATCGGGTTTTGGGGGCGCGTCAGACGAATCAACGGTAAGGGGTCAATTGTGTTCTTTTGCCGGGGAGTTCGTGGCAAGCGTTATTAAGGATGGCTTGTTGCAAGCTGTTCTGTCCATTTCCACGGACTCACAATGGCTGGTGGCACCAATCGATAACTTGGAGGCGCCAGGGGTCAGTGCGGAGGCCAGCAGGACCGGGAACAACCTCACGGAGAAAGATGGTGAAGACCAAGGGAATACTCGACGAGAACCCCAGCATCAGCAGCAACAGCAGCGACTTCAACTGACAACAGCAGTCTATCCTAGGTGCAATGATAGACTGAAATTTAATAGAGACCAAGGCGTTAATGACCCTCACGGTGACCCCCCGCCAACCGGCAGTACGCCGGCAGCCCTGGTTCCTTGTCGAGTGGCGCCACCTTCCTCAGCACAGTCACAACCACAGCTCTCAAGATCGGATGGGGCCACAAGGACAACCGCGGCTCGTGCTGTTGATAGTGTAGACGCCGTGGTTGCCAGTCATCAAGTGCAAACCCTGTCATCCCTGGACGCTGCAGCGGCCGCCACGGCCGTAGCCATCGAGAAAACGGCTCTTCCTCCTGCCACCATTCGCAGCAGCGACGACGACAAGAGTGGAACGTTCGCGCGAATCATCAACGTCCCACACACGATCAACGCAATTGTCGCGGCTTCGGCACCCCTCGACGCGAGCGATCTCCAGGACATCATGCCCGCTCGTGCAGAAGCCCGGTGTCGACGATACGATCTGCGACACGACCCAATGTACCATCTTCAACGTGGTGTACGAAACGGGCTGCGAACAAAGGACCTGGCGCTGGAGCTGGATCGGAGACAACCAAGAGCCCGAACGGTGGCAGAGCAAGAAAGGATCGGAATGGGAAGTGGCAACCACAGCAATGGCGACGGCGACGACGGCCTGACCGCAAGACAGGCCGAGCTCACACCGTCGCGCGCAGCGACGAGCGCTGGAGAATCGAGAGCCTCAATCGAAGCAGGGGCTTCTCCCGGTGCCAACAAGAGGGGACCCCGCGTGCAGCTCAGAAGAAATAGATGGTGCTCACCTCGTCTGGAAAATGGGCGGGGGGGCAGAGACGAGAGGGGATCAGGAAGCCTGCTGTGTGTACTCCCAACGTCGTCTGGGCCCGGCGGGAGCCGCGAAGGAGGGGTCGGGGAGGGGTCGTCGCTCACTAGCCAGGTAGAGAAGCATCACAACGGTAACCTCGTGAGGGGCCTGGCCCACTGCGCTTCCATCGCTGAGGCAAGAGGAGCCGGACGAAATCGACGCAGTCGCTCTGCCGGTGGCACCTCACCGGAAGCAGTGTGCATGGTGTTCGGGAGGGGGGGAGACGGGGGAGGAAGAGCAGAAGCGGGACGAGGACTACGAGCAACATGCCTTGCATCGGCACCGGCATCCTCCGCACTAGGCTTACCACTGGCGTCTCGCAAGCACGAGAATGTTGTGGGCTCAACTTCACAAGACAACATAAACCTCTCCGCCGCCGCCACCGCCGTCACCGCTGCTGCAATGGCCGCCGTCGCCGCTGCCGCGGCCGCCGCCGACCAATCCAAGAACGAAGCTCTCTTCTGGCGTGACTGTAGAGACAGCCTGAGAATGGACGAAGCGCGTGGCGGAGATAGTGCAAGCTACAGTGGCAGTGGAGTTGCGGTTGCTGGGACGGGTCGCGAAACCGATATCACTGATAGTCGTGGGATTTGCGCTTCCGCTGGCCCGCAGTCGCCCAAGGCCCCGGCAGGGGAAAAGCCCTCTCTGTCGGCGAGCTCGCCCAGGGGAATGTTGCACCGGACGGTTGTAGTATCGTCCGGTTCATCTGCTTCTACTGTACGGGAAAATAGCACATAAACATTTGGTGCTCGGCTTTTACATTTTGCTGGTGATGTTTGAACTTCTATTGTTCCGGCGGAACCATACCTACATACCGCTTGTTTTCTCCACCCCAGCACGTGCGTCTAGAGACCGTGCTCATACTAGTGTGCGGTGTTGTTCCCGGGCGTGTTCGTTGGAAAATCCAGAGTAGAGGGAACATAGTTGTGAATAGACGCAGATACTGTGTCCGGCTTTGACCCAAGTAGAGTAGAGGGTTTACCAGGAGACAACGCTGGATCTGTGCCGGAAATGGCTCATACTAAGTGTAAGGAACAGGGCGAATTTCCCGAGATT